AATAAAGAGAGAGAGAGAGAGAGAGAGAGAGAGAGAGAGAGAGAGAGAGAGAGAGAGAGAGACAGCCAGCAACTTTTTGTCTGATGTCAACATAAACTTAAAAAAATTGTCTTACACTACTTTTGTTCTCAATGTTTTATGTATATACATATATGTATGTATGTACATAACCGATAAATTCCTCAATGCAAATTCGTAACAACTCATGTCATGTAAGAATTTTTATCAGTAAACTCACTGAGGATGATGTCTACGTAGCAGAGGTAGAATCTCAGATGCCAAATGCCGTGAATTTCTCGCTACAAATACAGGTATATGAGTTATATTGCGCTACGCAACAGGCTGTTCTTTATCTTGAAAAAAAAAACAATGACATACCTGTTTGAAAGTTTTTGAAGATCAATGTCAGTCAAATGCCACCGGGATTCACGAATTCTCACATTTTTGGCGAAACGCGCTGAATGAAGCTTCAAAATATGAAGACGCGATAAACTATAACGGCTCGCCACATCCATTTGCATTAAGTGCGACGCAACGTTGAACGTGTACATTCAAATAGACTCATTTGAAAATGCGTGAGCAACTTCAGGTTGTCGTAGGAGAGTTGTACTGCAAACGAGTAACGAGCAACATGATTGGAATTATTTTTCTGTGCTTTTGAACGATAAAAATAATGGACAAAATATCTTAAAATGATTCACAATTTCGTCAATACCTTACTTTGATCTAACTCTTTCCATTTGAGATTTCGCAACAGTAGCGCGCTGGTGAAACTCGATCGAACTACATGGCGACTTTCATGAAGCGGCGTGCCTGTACAAAATTGAGCCACGTGCCGCCACCTATAAAATCAATCGTGCACGAAATCGCGGTTAGCGGGAAGGTGATATCGCAGTACTCGACATCTCAACATGGCTTCGTGTGTGCGGTGAGTTTGATTATTTTCGACTTTTTAACCTTTAAACGAGGAAGATACGGATTTATCGCATGCGCGCGTCCGGGACGTCGCCCATTCATGTCGTTCTCTCAGCGGACATGACGAATTCGTGCTTTCCGGGCTTTCAGCGTAAATAAATCTCGACGGTCAGTCGCATTCGATTCCGGTGACGTGTCCCCCCCCGCGACACATTATTTACGATATAAATATTTTTATCAATGAACACGCCGCGCAGTTGGCCACGAATCTGATCTAATCTGTCGCTGAACGAACACGACACCGGCCGCCGTAAGCTACAGTGGAATTTTACAGTTTTATAAACGATTGTTACTGCGGTTTATAGCCCGTTGCGGCCGCGGTCCGCGGCAGTATTCTTGCTTTCGACCGCTGCCAAGCCGGAAGTAAAACAAGAAGAAAGTACAATGTAATGTCTATCGACGAACGTCACTTCTACATATCGTTATAATTTATGTCTTATATAGAGTACACCCTATCGCATATCTTGCAACAAGTTTGACTTATTCTCATCCTCATAAATTTTCCAGGTTGGCTCTATTTTTAGTATTACTGTGCTCTTCATTTATTGTCGATGCAGTCAACAGAGACAACTTCAAAAGATGCGATCAAAGCAGTTTTTGTCGGTGAGTATTAACCTAATTAATTAGGCATTGTTGTTTGAAAGATGCATATTGTTTCTTCTTCTTATAGGCGGTGCAGAAAGATGGAAGCTGGAAAGACACCATATCAACTTTTGCCAGATACTCTTGTACAGGATGAATTTATGATCAATGTAGAATTATATAATAAGGATACGAATATCTTCTATGTGGTGAAGTTCATCTCGTTGAAGGATAATACATTTAGGTTACATATTAATGAGAAACATCCGCTACATCCTAGATATGAAAATGAGTATGCACTTCATGATCAGCCACAAACAGTAAAGTTTGATTCTGTGGAAAAGACTGCTGAGAGCATAATTGTAACAAAGGGTGAAAACAAAGCCATTTTATATATTAATCCATTTAAAGTAGACTTATACTTCCAAGATGTTTTAGCAATATCAGCAAATGCTCGCGGCCTTATGAGATTTGAGCATTTACGTAATAAACCAGTAAGGTGCGCATACTGGAAAACAATCATTGTCATAACTGAAATTTCATGAAATATGAATAATATATATAAATTATATATTGTCATATAGATCAGAACAAAGTGAAGATGCTGAAGCTGTGGAAACAAATAATAGTACGTTTCCTGGTGATGGTGCTGATAATGATCCTGGTGCTTGGGAAGAGAATTTCAAAGAGCATCATGATGCAAAACCATTTGGGCCAGAGGCTGTTGCCATGGATTTTAGTTTTCCTGGATCGGAACATGCATATGGTGTGCCAGAACATGCTGATTCACTAGCATTACAGTCAACCAAATCTACTGATCCATATAGACTGTACAATTTAGATGTATTTGAGTATGAAACAAACGAACGAATGGCTTTGTATGGTGCCATTCCAATTCTTTACGCTCATGGGTAATATCATTAACTGATAAGTTCTTTAAAAATTAATGATAAGATTATAATGTATTCGTGATACAATGTATTAATGATAAGTAAGATTATAATATATTAATGATAAGTGTATAATGTATTCGTATTATATTTCAGAAAAGAAAGAACGTCGGGTGTTTTCTGGCACAATACAGCTGAAACTTGGATAGATATTTTATCAAGTGCAGACAATAATGTCGTAGAAAGCATCGTTAATTTTGTGTCTAGATCTAACAAAAAGCCCCAAGTAGATGCTCATTTCATGTCCGAATCCGGAGTCATCGATGTATTCTTCATGTTAGGTCCAAAGCCATTCGATGTGTTTAAACAATACACTACTTTAACTGGTACAGCTCCTTTGCCGCAGGTATATGAAAAATAAATGTTATAAGATGTATAATTTTTAATTATAAAATCTTATAAGATTTTAGATTTAATTATAAGATGTTATAAATGTAAAATTTTTAATTATAAGATCTTTAGCCAAGACTTATCTTTTTTTTTTATATGTACCTCTTACAGATGTTTACTCTGGGATATCATCAGTCTCGTTGGAATTATAATGATCAAGATGATGTTGCTACGATCGCCGAAAGTTTTGATACACATGACATACCTATGGAAGTTATATGGCTTGATATTGAGTACACCGACAGTAAGAAATATTTTACGTGGGATTCACGAAAGTTTCCAAATCCTCTTGATATGATACGCAATCTTACTGCTAAAGGGAGGAAACTAGTGGTCATTATCGATCCTCATATTAAACGTGACAACAATTATTTCTTACATAATGATGCTACTAATTTGGGTTATTATATCAAGAACCGAGATGGTAAAGATTACGAAGGTTGGTGCTGGCCTGGGTCCTCGTCATATTTGGACTTCTTCGATCCGAAGGTCTTTGAATATTACGTCAATCTATACAGTTTGGATAAGTTCCATGGTACCACTAACGATGTTTACATTTGGAACGATATGAATGAACCAAGCGTATTCAACGGACCCGAAATAACAGCACTGAAAGATCTCGTTCATTATGGAGGTTGGGAACACAGAGATGTCCACAATATAAATGGACACGTGTATATTCGTGCAACGTATGAAGCTTTATTCCGTCGCTCAGGAGGTTCCTTGAGACCTTTCGTTCTGACCAGATCCTTCTTCGCTGGATCTCAACGTTACGCGGCGATGTGGACCGGCGACAACACAGCCGACTGGAATCATCTCCGTGCAAGTTATCCTATGTGTCTTTCGATGGCTATATCAGGAATGTCGTTCTGCGGTGCCGATATCGCTGGTTTCTTCAAGAATCCAGATTCCGAATTGTTCGTCAGGTGGTATCAGGCGGCGGTGTGGCTGCCTTTTCTTCGTCAGCATTCTCACATAGAGACAAAGAGACGAGAACCGTGGACGTTTAACGAAGAGACTACGCAGGTAGTTCGCGAGGCACTCAGACTGCGATACTCTTACCTTCCATTCTGGTACACTCTCTTCAGAGAACATGAAGTGAACGGTTCGCCCGTTATACGTCCTCTGTGGGCGCACTATCCATCCGAAGCAGAAACCTTCACTATTGATGATCATTTGCTGCTCGGCGATTCTATACTCGTGCGTCCGATATTACAATCCGGTGTCACGGAGGTATCTGTCTATTTCCCAGGGGAGGGCAAGTTGGCATGGTATGACATCGATACGATGCAACCCTATCAACAAGCAGGATACGTCAATATACCGGTAACGATCCACAAAGTACCTGTGTTCCAAAAGAGCGGTACTATCGTCCCACGAAAGATGAGGATACGGCGCAGTACAGTCCCCATGAAGAATGATCCTTATACGTTGATTGTAATCGCCGACAGTAATGGAATGGCTAGCGGAAATCTATACATTGATGATGAAGCCAGTTTTGAATATCGCCATGGGAAATATTTATACCTAAGATTAAATCTGACTGGCAACAAAATAACTTCGACCCTATTAGATAAATTAGCTTCATACGAAACGCTAAGCTGGTTGGAAAGAATAGATATAGCCAATCCACCTCCAGGAATCAAGTCTGCCCAGTTGGAATCTCACAGTAAGTCATCAGATTCAAATATTCATCATACAGCAATCCCTTCCATAACGTATTGTATTAATTAATATAAGTTTATATTAATAATGTATATACAATTTCTTTACAGATATGGGAAAAGTAACTTTGGAGACTAAATATAATCCAAATAATAACGTACTGACGATACGTAAACCAGCTGTAAATATGGGCGAAGAATGGACTATTGAATTATTACGTTAGGATTATGATTTTATTCATAATCGACTCAGTAATCGTAATCGATAATGCCACTTTTTTATTACTATACATGTTTCAGCTGTGATCCGGGGATTATTAATGTCTATTAGAACGAATAAGTATACAAAATTTAGCTGCTATGAGAGCAAAATGATTGTTATCTTCTTTGACAAGATTAAAAATTTGCTTGCAACATTTATCGGATGTGCAATTGAGCAGCATAATATCGCGAAGCTGAGAAATGTTTATACAGATATTATCCTCTTTGTAATTTGCAACTTTATTTTATATAATATGATAAAAAATCAAGAATAAAGTATATAAATATTTCAGGCTATATTACAATTGATTATAACAAAAATATTATTTTACATCAAAAGTATACACATTTATGTATTTAATTTAGAAATATACATTTCTCTAAATTTATTATATAAAATAACATGTATCCAAATAAAGCAAAAATTTGGTCGTGAAATAGATATCGAGATTTACAATCGCCTATCCTATCCTTGTCAACGAAAATATTTTCACATTGCAACTATTTATTATTCAACAAATCTTAGATTTAGATATAATAAAATATATTCCATTTCTTTTCAAGTAGAAAGTATCTTTATTTTGTTTATACGCGTTCCGTTGGTGCGTGCTTATGAGCTAAGTATAAAAACACTATTGACGATAACGCTGATACCAAGAAAATAACATCAAACCATCTGTGGTAAAAATTAAACTGCAGTTCTCCTAAGACTTGCGTTATTATGATTCGATATTCTGCCGGCATGTTCATGCGCATAAGAAGTACAGAAGATACAAAGTACATTCCCTAAAAATGACACGAAAGTAACAACACAAAATTTAGAACACGAATAAAGCTGTTTATAATTATGCATATATGATTTTTGTAACTGCAAAAATACATTAATCTTACCATTATTTGAGCAAGTATGAGCACAATAATATTTGAAGATTTGCTGCTGGATATAGCGTAAAAAAACTGAAACAAAAATAGTAAAATTATAGCGGGTATTTCCGCCAAAACTAATGATGATGCGATAAAAAAGATCGATATTCATAATATGATGAATCATATCATCATCATATCAACAATATATAGTGTATATATAGATAATTTTATAGAATAAAAAAAAAAGTATAATTTACATATGAATAAACACGTGTGAACTATTATGCAAGAAGTGTTCAGTTTTAACGTACCTTTGTTAAAGTTAACAATAATCCGCGTATGGACGTTACAACGATACAACCGACGAGATAGAAAGAGATATGCTGTGACCAAAACGTAACATCAATATTAAAACCGATCCAATGCACTGCGATTTCGATTCCCCTGGTTACAGGATCTTTTTTACCGACTCGATCGAACACTATGTTGATTGTAGACTGTAAACAGGACGTAAAGATCATCGATTTTGTTCGACAAGAATTTCAATCTTCGTTAACTAATTTTTCACCTACAATAAATATTTTCCAAGTGCAGTATAGAGAGAAAAAGTAACCCAAAAAGTTGAAATATTTCCCTTGCCAAGTGGCGGCCCACTCCAGGCGTTCTCTCGCATTTTGTATATCGTGCGCTTCCAAAAACAATTGTCGCGATAATTCTTCTAAAGCGGCAACTTCGATTTGCAATTGCTTGACAGCTGTGAAGCAAGAAACGTACAATAGTATAATTCTCGGAACAGAACGTACTTGCAGCTTGTATTTTAAATAAAACAGGATATTTACTTTCTTGGTTTCCCTTCGTGCCACTCAACGGATTCAACATCCCCCATATTCGAGATCGAGCTTCGGTTTGTCCGTCGGCCTCGCCTTTCTTGGCCAATGCGATTCTTTTTTTCTTCGCGATTATCATGTCCATAGTTTGCAGTAGTCGTCTTTCTATTGACTGCACATCCGCATAGGAAACTGGACGCATGAAATAAGCCATAGAAGTGTACGGGTAATTTACAGCACCAAAACCCGAGAGGAGAGCCATCACAGTGACACCGATAACTCCTATTCGACTGACACCCTGTTCTATAGACAGCAATCCTTTTTTGGGGCTTAAAATGGGGAAAGGATCACCCACTTTCCAGAACAGGTAAAGATAGAAAAGGTATATGACAACTGTCAGTGGCCGTATTAGATTCAGTCTTACTGCACAGATTAGAATAAATTCATCAGTTCTTCAATTGACAAATAAATAATAGAAGAATATAGAGATCATATAAAGAATACTCAGGAGTACATTACCAAATCTGATATTGCTGATAATAAAATATGCTATGTAAAATGGTATCAGTACTATCACCATAAACAGAAGCATGTAAAGGCCAGCGTTCCAATGGAAATATCTAGAACTGAGAGAAGCAAGCTTGATATTGCACTTCAATTGACACATTGACTGCATTCAACAAAGAAAGCTGCTTTGTAGCTGTTAAAAAATTTGTAAATTTATAAATTTGATCTTGATATGCTATTAGATTCAAACAAGATTAAGAGCATATACCAATCAGATTTATAAATTTTACAATAGTTCCAAGGGAGCTTTCTCTGAATGTAGCCATTGGAATTCCATTCCTTACCTTGAGTCTAGGACTCCTGCTATCTCAAAAATAATTAATTCAAACATGGTACATGACAATGAGAAGGTTGTTGAGAAAATTAATTGCACTAGCCTATGATGAACTTCATAATCCCTAAATAGTTTCTTCACAAAGAATACCCATCCTCCTAAGAAGAAAATCACCTGGAATATGGAAGAAAAATAAATAAAAATTTATCTTTCAGTCTACTCTGACTTCATTTATTATTCGTCCAGAAAAAGATTTTGTCTATATAAACGAGATAAACTTTCCCTAAAAACAAATAAGTTATACTTATGGAATTTAAAGATTTAATATTTTTACAAAATAAACTGCAGGACTTCCGTCATGAAATTTATTGTAGTATTCTCAGATACATACATTTTATAATTCATCATCATTGACATTGACACATCACATGTCAGAGAGAGGTATCCATAAACAAAAAATTTACAGGGAATCGTTATAAAGAATCAACAGTGAACTTTTGAGAATACATAATCGAGAAATTGTCAATGCCAAGTTTTACATGAAACTTTTCATTAAATATTGCCAGTAGTAAAATAAACTGTTTCTTTTTCTGATACACTGTATAAAGATAGCATCGGCTACTCTCTTCATAACCTAAACCGGTTCCGGCAGTAACGATAACTGATTTTTGCAGTGGAAACGAATTTCCACCTGTGTTACGAGAATCACGAAAGTGTCCTCCAGAAAACCCATCTTTGGCTATTGCGATTTTCACTTCGCATCGCGAAGTCTCCGACAGGATAATCCGTACTTGACAGCACTTGACAGGACGCAAGCGGTCGTGGATGGCTACGTCATCAAACACATGCATATAGAAAGTATACAGAGTTTATACTATACATTGAAAAAATACTTGAAAATTTATTTGTAAGAGAGAGAGAGAGAGAGAGAGAAAGAGAGAGATAAAGATTTAATTTACAGAAATAAATTTTATTTTAAATGAACTTTATATTCCATAAATAAATTTTCAAATATTTCTTCAGTGTACGTTCGACATTGCACATTCGATCTTAAATTTGTCTTTTCTAATGGATAAAATAAACATACAAGCACATTATAAATAAATAAATTAATAGTACAATAAATGTATACACACAACAAAAAAATGAAACGATCATATATTCTTCTCGATTAAGAAAGATAGACCAAATTCGATTGACCGTAATTTGGATAAAAATAATAATAATAAAATAGTTCAAGAAACATTTTATAAATTGAAGTTTCTAGTTTTATATATATTATCAAATATACAATTGATACAGAACAACGATTAGGCGATAGTATCAAGGAAAATTTCTACACGATATATTGGGTTGTCGAAAAAGTCATGACGCAATTTTGCAATAGATGGCGCTAGTTCATTTTTGGAAGTACTAGAGTCATTCGCATCTATGTTATTGCTATGTCATTTGACAGCTGACAGTTTTAGCTTCATTCTAAAAAAAAATTGAGCGATTTGGTTGAGTTTTGGAGATTTTATAACAAGTTGAAGATGGAAGATCAAACTGTGCATTTTCGCCATATATTATTGTTTTACTTCCGTAAAGGGAAGAACGCGCGTCAAGCTAGTGAAAAGTTGCGTAAAGTTTACGGTGACAATGCTGTACAAAAACGTCAGTGCCAACGATGGTTCACGAAATTCCGTGCTGGTGATTTTGATCTCATAGCGAATTCGGTAGCTTGCACTAGTGCGCACTGAGTGCGCATTAAGGCTTGTTTACAGTACATTCTTATATTTAAGATCGTGTCTTAAATACATATTTAAAAACATTTTAACTAATCAAATGATTCGTACGGATGTTATACATATCATATTATGGTTAAAAATATTTGAGAATTTATTTGAGAATTATTTAAGACAATTTTTAAATATAATAACATACTATGAACAAGCCTTAGTGCGCACTCAGTGCACACTAGTGCAAGCAACCGAATTCGCTATCAAAGACACTCCTCGGTCAGGGTGGCCTATCGAGGTTGATGACGACAAAATAAAGGCATTGATCAAGTCAAACCCACGTTACACTACATGAGAGATTGCAGAAACATTGAACATCCATCATTCAAGCGTTCACGACTACCTGAAGAAGTTGGGATACGTAAGCAAGCTCGATATTTGGATTCCTCATGAACTCAAAGAAGTTTATTTGACGACGCGTATAAACATCTGCGATATGCTCATTAAACGTGAGGAAAACGATCCTTTTTTTGAAGCGACTGATAACTGATGATGAGAAATGGATCGTTTATAACAATGTGGTACGCAAACGGTCTTGGTCCCGACATGATGATTTGCCTCAAACGACATCGAAAGCAAACATTTATCAGAAGAAGGTTATGCTCTCAGTGTGGTGGGATTTTAAAGGTGTCGTGTTTTTTGAATTCCTACCAAAGAAGCAAACAATCAATTCGAATGTGTACTGTCGGCAATTGGACAGTTTGAACGAATCCATCATCCAGAAACGTCCAAAGCTCGTTAATCATAAAAGAGTTGTGTTCCATCACGATAACGCGAGACTACATACAAGTTTGATTACTCGTCAAAAATTATTGGAGCTTGGATGGGATGTGTTGCCACACCCACCATACTCGCCTGACCTTGCGCCGTCCGACTTCCACTTGTTTCACTCTCTTCAAAACTCCTTGTGTGGTATAACGTTCAATTCGGATGAGGCAAATGCTGTAAATCAGCATTTTGTTCAATTTTTCGCCGATAAAGACAGATCCTTCTATGAACGGGGAATTATGAAACTCACTGAAAGATGGCAAAAGGTTATCGAACAAAACGGGCAATATATCATTAATTGATCTTTGTTTTTTATATGAATAAATGATCTTTGAAAAACATAGAAAAAATACGTCATGACTTTTCCGACAACTCAATAATTTAAAGATCTGAGGATCGATTGTGTATCTCAAATCGGAGTGAAAATGATAAAAGTGAGCAAATTTTCTAGCATATTTATAACTTCATTGATTCTTGAAAATATATCACATACGACATTTAGTGAAAAGCTAGTTCATGTTACGTATATTATAGCTTTTCACTAAATGTCATATGCGATATATTTTCGAGAATCAGGGCCCAGGGGTTTTATTCTCGAAAATTATCGCATACGATATTTCTATGAAAAGCTATAATTCACGTTACGTATATTATAGCTTTTCATAGAAATATCATATGCGATATTTTTTGAGAATAAGGATGCGTTCCCATTTAACGAGTCACGCGTCATCCTTCGCGGACTAATCAAATCGTCCCATTTTATTCGTTGTAAAGTTAGGCATTAAAATAGGACGATTTGATTGGTCCGCGACAGACAACGCGACACGTAACGCGCTAAGTGGGAACTTAGCCTAAGGCTGCCTGCGTCACGAGTTAACCAATCAAATCGTTCCATTGGAACAAGTACGTCGCGCGCGCGTCATCCCAATTAGAGGATTTGATCAGTGCTGAGAGTTCGCGATATTTTCTAGATGACAGGAGTCCTTCTGCGCATGCGTAAAATGACATAGCAACTCGACGTAAGCAGTTTCTAATGACGGTGTTAGGCACGAGTAGAGGGTTTTTAGAGAACATGCACAAAATACTCGGCCGTCTGTCTGTGTTGTTTGCCCGCGAGTGGTTAGGTTAGATAGGTAATGAAATGATATAATAATAAATTAGTATAATTAATATAGTTATAATAATTAGTATAGCTATGTAAAATGTGATATTATAATATGTATATATAGTATATATTAATAAATAAAATGTGATAAAAAAGTGCAATTTTAATATAAAGTGATATTATGATAAAGAAAAGTGCAATTATAATATTAAGTTAATTAAAGAAAAAAGTGCCGTATTAACGAAAAAAAAGGATCAACACCAGCCTTTGTCATCAAGTGGCATCGAGGCAAAGAAGAGAAAATGTGCGAGAAGAAAATTCCAATATGCATGGTTAAATATGAATATTTTCAAAGATTGATTGGCTGCAAAAATTACAAAATAAAAAATATTTATTTTTACTTATGAACAGCATTCTGTTTCTTCCCACAAACTTTCTTTTCTCTCTACAATCCCTTCATATTTTATTTTAGGTGAGAGATCTTACGATACCTTAAAATAGATACGGCGCTGAGGTTACCACAGAGTTTGCTCAATGCGCGTGCGCGAAAATATATCGCGAACTCCCA